GTTTGTGTGCTCACAACTCATCGATGTATTTCGCTTTCTCTCAATGCCCTTCCTGCCTGTTATTGCACATTGTTGTTGTTCTCCTTCTGACCCCCTCAACCCTCCCCCCTCCCTCCAACTGTCACTTTGCTTCTCTTGGCAGTGCACCGTTCTGTCAGGTTGCGGTGTCGTTTATTTGAACAACAAATTGGCATCAGTGTACAAAATGCTCTCTGGAAACTCGAAAACAGTAAACATGTGTGGCGCATGGGAGTCGTCTCAACACAACCGTAACACTGGTCACATGCAGTGCAACGTGCCCTTGGCCAAAACATGACATCAACAAACACAAAACGCTCAGGGGCCCACACAGGAACACGTGTGTGCGCGCACAACAAGAAAACAAGGGAAGAAAGGAAGAGAGCATGTTCCTTTACGGTTCCACCCGCTTCAAATCGCAGGGCCACCTGACACACGAGTAGCGTCGTATGGTGGCCTGTAGGGTAGAGCGTGTGGCATGTGGTGTGACATGATGTGGCTGCTTGATGGCTTGACGACAGCCTTCCGCCTTCACACTGCGCTGACGGTGGGTGGCTGTGCCATGATATAAGTTGGCGAAGTGCCTGTCTCGCTGGCAGAGCGCGAGCGCTGTCGTCGGCGCCATGATGACGACGACGATGATGATGACGATGATGACGAATGCGAGCAACCCATTGGCTGAGACGTTGGCTCTGCATGGGGTGGGTTCGGTGCAGCTCTTGGGCGACGCGAGGACTTTGTTGACCGCGGCTTGTCATCATCTGGCGAGAGCGGTGCGTGCAAAGGATCTGTGTGCTCCACTTCCAATGGCCTGAATGTCAGATTTGGGGGAATCAGGGAGGGGGTTGGGGGAAGGGTTGAAGAGTGAGTGAAGAGGGAAAGACAAGAGGAGGTGAGGAGTCATCACAAGACGAAAGTGGCGAGCGGGAAAAAGAAAAAGGCGTTCGTCACGGTGGTGCCATATCAAAGTGGAGAGCATGAAGGAACAACGTGAAAGACGTGAAGGAGCAACACAAGGTCGCAGAACAGCAGCACGGAGCACACTAACACGGGTTGCAAGAGGAGCAGACGTACGATTTGGCGGGAACTTCGTGGGCGTTGTATCTGGCTGTGGTGATGACAAGTGGATCTGCAAACGATACCCGGCGACGCTCCTTCAGTCCTTCTGTCTTCTTGTTCTTGCTCTTTGTCTCTGGCTGTTGGGCTGACGCGGATGAGTGTGCAGGCGTGCGCGCGTGCGATGGCCACGATGAAGTCAGGTTGCGGTGCTTCGCCTGCTTGTGGGGCTGCTCACCCTCCTTGTGCCGCTGCTGCTGTTGCGCGCTGTTTGCATATTGCCGTTGGTGCTCGTGGTGCTGTCGCTCTAGCTGCTGCTCCGACTGGCGTGTTGGCAGCGCATAGAGGTTTGCCTGTGCGGATCTTGAGCGCCTGACACGAGGCGGTGAGAGCTGCTTCGGCGATGTTGCCTCGTCCGCGGCCGCATGTTGTCCGTGCAGCAGCTGGTGCTGCTTTCGCTGCTGCCTTTGGCGCTCGCGTTGTGCGCGTGCCAACAGGTCCAGGCCATGGTAAGATGAGGAGCGCTGGGAGATCATCGCAGCCGCTGCTTCTGGCTGCCTGTGCGCATACCGCTGCTTGTGCTGCTGCTGCTGCTGCTGCTGCTGCTGCGGGTGGTGATTGTGTTCGTTCTGGTGGTGGTCGAACGCGAATCGGGGCTGGATGCGCTGCCTTCGCATCCAGTACCAGATGGCACGCAGTTCCTTGTCCTCCAGCACAGGCTGGCAGATGATGCAGGACGCACAGTCCAGTCCCAGCTCTCGCAAGTACACAAAGTACATGTGCTTGCACACAATGCCCTGAAGACGCGTACGCGTTTGTGGTGTGTGTGTGTGTGTTTGGAGCGGGTTGTAGTGGAGGCGAAGCACGCAGGCGTTGGGCGTGAGTAAGTCGTGATCATGTTTTGTGTGTGTGTGTGTGTTGGTAGGGGGGTGGGTGGTAATCCTGTAATCATTATACATGGTTTGAGACAGTTGCGCAACAGAGCGCGCACGGCAGCGTGATGAGGAACATACGTTGGAACAGTGATCTGCGCACGAGCAAGACGGGCGTTGCTTGAGCTGCACAATGAAGACGAAGCCTGTCAAGTAGAGAAAAATGCGTACATGCGTGATGAGGAACAATAGTGTATGTGAGAGAGGCAGACGTGAACGTGTATGACAGCGAGGTCGAGCAAGTGCACCAACGGACTTGGCATACGCCTTTGTGTGGTGTGTGTGTGTGGCAGGACGCGTCAGCTTACCTTTGCTGTCCACGACGGAGAAAATGGCGTGATGGTGGCAGCCAGGCCGGCACATGCACCTGTGGATGACAAAGTGTGTGCTGTGAGCGACGAAAAACCGGGGAGGGAGGGGGGATAAAAGGCAGGCTACCATCTTCAACACAAACGAGGACACACACACACACACATATCAACACGCACACACACACACACACACACACACGCACGGCTACACACACGCACGGCTACACACACGCACGCACGCACACGCACGCACACGCACGCACACGCACACACACAGATCCATAGACACACCTGTCAGAGATGGTGCTTGTCTTGACACGCATGGGTTGCTGGAGGGCGGTGGCAATTCGGAGCTTGTCCTCGTATGTTTGGCGCAGCTTTCTGCCAGCCGGTGCTGGTGGTTGGTGGTGTGTCACCAGCACATGCTTGTGCTTGCCGCTGGGCTGGACGGCGGCCATGTCCCCGCGCCGGCTCGCCGCTGGGTTCACGCTTACGCTGGCTTGCATTTCGCGCGTAACTTCTGTCTGTGGCAGCTTGTGTGGCTGAGGTCAGGAGGTCCTCAAAGCAAATGGAGAGGGCGCGCGTCGGAGAGGCGAGATAAGTGCTGTGCGGTTGGGGGCGCTGGGAATAGCAAGTTTCAGTCGGGGCGGTCGTCGTTTGTGGTGTAAATGCAGCTGGGGGATGGAGCTGATGATTGATGGTGGTGGTGGATGCGCCAATCAGGCAGGCAGGCAGGCAGGCAGGTAGTCAGTCAGTCAGAGCAAACGAAGACGCGCGATCGCTCTGCTCCTCCACCACGCTGCCGTAAGTTTTTTTTGGTGGAGGTGGTTGTGGTTGCTTTGCGTTTGCTTCTGCCAGTGTTGTTTGCCGTGCTTGCGTGAGCGTGTCGCCAACACAAAGTCAAACAAGCTGCGAACCTGCGGGTTGAGCGAGAAGCGGAGAAGGTCCTACGCCACCCCTTTCTGCAAACAAAACGGGTTGCATCAGTTTGCAGCAACGTTTGTTCGGAAACAATGGAGGCCATCAAAACGCGTGCATTGGCAAGCGGGGTGGCGAACGTTTTCGAACATTGTCGAGACCCATCAGTGGCGAATCCAAGCGTTGCTCACGTTGCTTGCAGGCAACCAAGATTCCATGCGGCTTTAACAGTTTTAAGAACTGATCTCAGTTGAACAATTACTAGACTGAAATCAGTGGTGTGGAAGACTACAGCTGAATTCAGTTGTCGCAAACACTCAGCACACAACCAACACCACAACAGCAGAACACCCACACACCTCTCCTCTCATCACCTCCATCACCCTATCGCAGCAAAAACAGAAAGCGGCATGGCCGAGGACACGAGGCGCGCGCGGGGCGTGGTGGGCCAGCTGCTGTCGCATGTAAGCAAACCACACAAGACCAAGAAGAAGCAACAGCAGCAGCAGCAGCAGCAGCAGCAGCAACAGCAGCAAGAACAACGCGGCAAGCACACAACACAGGACGAGCATGCTGGTGATGGTGCTGATCCCGCACGCGTGGATGATGGTGACAAGGTTGGTCAGAGCTCAGCGGTCGGGGAGAAGGAGCCTGCGCTGGTGGCCGACCCGTTTGCAGACGTGCCCATCTATCCTGAGGACGTGCGCACGACGGGCAAGGAGAAGCACCTGGCAAAGGGCCTGCATGTGGAGCCGGATCTCCTCCCCGTGTCCAGGGAGCACCCGCCCAGTTCGCCCTGCGACGAGCTGCGCCGCCTCCACCTGCATAACGACACGGAGGCTGTGAAAGCGAAGCTGGCAGCATTCCCCTCCACATTCACCCACGCCGACGTCCACGATCCCTACGCATCGTTTCTGCTCGATATGCTGGATGCTTTTGTGCTCGCAGACGTCGCCACCCTGGCCATGGACGGCAGTGATATTCAGCCCCTGTGGATCGCCGCCGTGCAGCATTGGCTGCGCATCGTGACCACCGTCCACCACCACCACACCCAGCCATGCAGCCACGAAGGCCCAAGCGCTCCAAAGCACGTCAAGGGCCCGGACACCGACGCATCACCACAGCATAGTCAACAAGCAAACGAACAACAACAACAACAACAAGAGACAAGAGCAGAGGCCAAGCAGCAGCAGCAGCAGCAGCAGCAGCAGCAGCAGCGGCAGCAGCAGCAGGCCTCAGCAGCGCCACCTCACCTTCATGTTGTCAAGGACTGCAACGGCGAATCTGAAGACGAGAAGATCATGCCCAAACCTGGCAATGTGTGGCACAACATGCCCTGGCTGGAGCGCCGGCACCGCCGCTGTCTTCTGCGTCTCTTCGCGCGCTGCTCGGATCCCGATTTGGCCATCCCAGCGCTGGCAATGGCGTGCATTGGTACCACTGTCACCCACTGGCGCCAAGATGCACGCAACATTGCACTGACCAGCACAGCCCTCGCCACGGCTGCTATCGCTGACACTGAGACACAGCAGCACCACCAGCAACAGCAACCACGCCAGCAACCGCGTGACGGTGACGGTGAGCTGAAAAAGGGCCAGCATGACGAGCACGATCAGCAGCATGGTGATGCTGCCACCGCGGCTACCTCGTGGCTGCGGGCAAGATACACCACCATCACATCTCCATCACCGGCAGCATCTTCATCTGCGTGTGAGCCCGCGGCTGCAGCGTGGCTCAGCAGTACAACAGACCTCCTTTGCTGGCTGCTTGCGCCACCAGCGACGTCAGCAGCAAGCTCAACGGGCAGGCACGCCACCCACACGGCTGCCAAGGGCGACGCTAACGACGATTTGCCCGTGAAAGGACACGAGCTCCACTTCGCCGCCATGATTGAGCTGTACCGCGACTGCTACCTCGCGCTGTGGCACGTACGTTGTGATCTGTGTGTGTATTTGTGTGTGTGTGCATGCGTGTGTGTGCATGCGTGTGTGTGTGTGTGTGTGTGCGTGCGTGCGTGTGTGTGTGTGTGTGTGTGTGTGTGTGTGTGTGTGTGTGTGTGTGTGTATATCTTCACTCTTGTGT